GTGCCAAACCTCAAGGTAGCTTGGCACTTCCGAGAAAAATTCCGAATGTGGTCTCTTCGATCCCGTTGGCCAGAAAGTATCACTGGAAGTGGAAGGCAAGGACTTTGCCGCTCCAGATGGCTCCAAAATGGCCTTCAAGACGGCCAATGCGGCATCCAAGACGGCCAAGCTGGCCCCAAGAGAGCCCAAGATGGACCCAAAATGTCTCCACAACGGCCCGAGATGCACCCCCGACGACCTAAAACGGCCTCAAGATGGCCCGAGAGACCTCAAAGAGGAGGACCTCCAGGAGGACCTGTGACGCTTGCTCCAAGACGGCCCCATAGGCCTCCTAGATCGCCCCAACACGGCCCACGAGACCCCCAAGAGGCCCGCAAGACGGACCAAGACCGCCCCAAGACGGCCCAAGAGGCCCCGAAGACGGCCCGTAAGCGCCCAAGACGGACCCACGATTACCCAGAGAGGATGAGAGAGAGGAGATGGTGCAAAAAGGGAGGGAGCATGGAGGAAAAATGAATGGGGGGGGGGGGGGGGGGAAAGGGGGGGGAGGGATGAGAAGAGGAACGAGGGGGAGAGGGGAGGGCAGGTGATAAAAAGAAAGATGAAGAAGAAGGGAAAGGAGTGAACGGAGTGGAAGGGGTGGGAAAGGAGAAAGGGAAGAGGGAGAATGTAGGAGAGGGAGGAGGGGAGAAGGAGACTCCCCAATTATCTTAAGCGGCATCGGACTTGCCAATAGCCCCTGAGAGGCCCCTGAGAGGCCCGTAAGAGGCCCCTAAGATGCTCCAGGATGCCCCCAAATGGCCTCTCAGAGGCCCCCAAGAGGCTGCCAGGAAACCCCCAAGAGGCCTCAAGAGGGCCTCAAGAGGCCTCCTCGTTTTCCTCTTCGTCTTCGTAGTGGTATTATTATTATTAGTAGTAGCATGCGCATTCTTATTGCTCATAATATGTTATTCTTATCAGTATTATTCCTCTTCTTCGTACTCATGATTTTGCTCCTATTATTCCTCTTCCTCTTCTTCCTCCTCCTCCTCCGCCTCCTCCTCCTCCGCCTCCTCCTCCTCATCATTTGTCTTCCTCTCCCAAGTGTCTCCCGAGGGGAACACACAGATAAACAGCTTGGCCAGACTTCGGCCAAACGGTTGGCCGCATGGGCGTTTCCAAAAGGCGGGGGGCGGCGGTGATTCGCTGCAGGCGTCTTCGATCCGCCACTTCCTGAGCCTGCCAATGATTGGTCTGCCAATCTCTAGAATTACAACCACCGCGCGGACTTCGCGCGCGCTCAGGTTCTCCGCAATCCCAGCTCGCAGCGAGATGTCGAGGGTTAGGCGACGGTTGTGGACAGTACTTGAGTCCGGAGACGCTACAAGAACACGCGTGGAGTGCGAATCATTTTCAAAATGGGGCTCTCGCAGACTCGTCTTAGAACGTTCCAGCAGTTACACAAATGGAGGGCGGTCCCACTTTTTCAATGGGACTTTCGCCTGAGCCCTTCGGCGCGTTTTCAAGATTACGAATGCATCGCGGAGCAACAGTTGCATGGATGTAGGGCGGTCCCTTCTCCAAATGGGGCTCTTGTTTGAGATGCCGCACGACCCTACGACTACACATCTGAGACTGTGCCTCAAGTGCGCGGATGGAGGGCGGTTCCTTTTCAAAGCGAGCCCGTCGCTTGGCACAGCCTTGAACTTGACGCGCTCGGGACAACCGTAGGCAGAACCTATCGTAAGGCCATCGGGAAAACATGTGCTGCGCTGCTTGAGGAGGACGCCCGTCGAAGCACGGCCACACGGGCGCAGGATAAAAAGCGATTCCTTTCCAAGCCCCACTCCCGCCGGCATTGCGGGCCCGTGGGGTGCTCGTCTTCCGGGGGAGGGGCCGGGCGCCTCGCGCCAGGACAAGCCGCACCGGCAGAGACGAACTGAAGGAGGGGAGGCCTGGACGGGGGAGGGCGCGCTGCAGCCTCGCCCACGCCTCTCCGGGCTTAGGCGAGGCATGTCCCCCTACAGCGGAGTCTGGAAGAACAATGATATATATATATATATATATATATAAATATATATATATATTAGTGCTCGCACATACTCGAAAAAGGATCGAACAACCGTCCCCGACTATTGTTTTGCCTATTTCTGAACCTTCCTCCTGCAGAGGGACAGGCCCCACGCAGCTCCGGGCCTGCCCTGGCCGCCCGGAAGACCGATCCCCGGGCCCGTCCGGGCGTGCGCCCTCGCCGAGAAGGGCCCGGGGGGAGCCCGGACTCGCGGCGACGAGGAGCCTCCCCCCAGAGGCCCGAGGAGGGGGCCAACAGCGAGGAAGAGGACATGCCAGCGCGGGGCGGGGTGTGCCAGGCGCCTGCACGGCGCACCGGCAAACAGAGCTGGCTTGGGTCCTTGCCGTTTTCCCCAGGGTCTTCGGGCTGGGTTTCCTACTGCCTTTCCCCGGTTCCTCGGTCTGGGTTCCTTGCTGCCGCTTTGGCCTGGGACCACCCCATGATGCCATGAAGTTCCCAATGCGTTCCGTGGGCCCACGGATTTGTCCCTGTGGGTAGCTGGTCTTGATCCCGCTCGCGCCAGCTGAAGTGACTAGTCTAAGGCTCTCTTCGCGGCCCTCATGGGCTCCTCATGGAGCCCCGCAGGCCTCTCCAAGAGAGCCTGCGAAAGCCTTCTTCAAGCCAGGAGAGAGCCCCAAGAAGGCCCCCAGGAGAACCCACAGACTTGACACTTCGGGTGTGTCTGCCATCCTGCGCGCGCATCCCCCTCTTTGGCAAAGAGCAGTTGCCCCTATCTCTTCGGCTGTTGTTTCTTTGTTTTCTCTCCTCGCTCTTCACTGATCACTCCTCTCGTCGCCCGCCTCCGATGGGACGCCTAGGAAACCAACAGGATGCATTAGGAAATCGATTGGACTCCTTAGGAAACCCATAAGATTCCGCAGGACACCCATTGGATTCCTCAGGAGACCAATCGGGATCCTCAGAGACTGAATTGAAATCCTTTGGAAATCAAAAAGATTCCTGTATCGGAATCCTCTGGAAACACGTAAGATTATTTCGGGCATCCATACGAATCCGAAGGGAATCTACAGGAAGCCTTAGGAAATCCATAGGACCCCTAAAGAAATCAATAAAAATCCAATGGAAATCCATGGGGTTCCTTAGGATACCCATTGGAATCCCAAGAAAAACTGCTGGAGTCCTGCGGACATGCATCGGATTCCTGTAGAACTCCATAAACCAGCCTATGGAAATCCAAAGGAATCCTTGGGATATCCATCGGAATCCTAGGGAAACAAATTGGACCCCTTAGGAAATCCACTCGATGTTTATTCCTTCGGACATCCACTGGGCCCCTGGGGGAATCCGTCGGAATCCAATGGGAATTAAGAGGGTTCCTTTGGACATCGATAGGAACCCTAAGAACATCCAATGGAATTCTTAAGATATCCATACGAATCCTAAGGAAATCGACTGGATGCCTTAAGAAATCCATAAGATTCCCCAGGACGCCCATAGGAAACCCAAGGAAAGTCATTGAAATGCTTAGGAAATCCGAAAAAAATAGACAGCCATAGGATTCCTTTTGGAAATCTATTGGCTCCCGATGGACATCTACGAGGATTCTCGAAGATGATGAAAATGAGGACGATGACGATGAAGACGATGAAGATGATGACTCCTCGCTCTTACGGCTCTTGGCGCTCGGCGAGAGTTGGTTTCTAGAGCTCGCCTGAGAGCTGGAAGCCTTTGGCGGTTCTGTTGGGAGGACAGTTGGGTGTAGGGCACGATTGGAGTTAAACTGTGTCAGAAATCTCGGGTGGCCTTGTCATCATCTTGCAAGAGCCGCTTTGAATCGACCTCATGCACTCGTCACGAGTAGTGAAAGCACGGAAGTTCATACCACGCTTTGTGCTGTACCTGCTGGGTCCTCCTCGTTTGCGGCCGATGTTGCCTGCACCTCCAAGAGAGTGCCAAGACAGCGTCAGAGAGTTCAACTGCATTCCCGAAACATCTGTGCAATGTGACCCCGAAGTCTTGATGGGGCTCGGAATGAACTTGAACAACAAGAGAATCACTGGATTTCCTTGTTTTTTCAGGTGGGACCTCCTGACATGTAGTGCGCAGGAACTGGGGGGGGGCCTAGAAGGCGTGCAAGGAACTCTTGGGAGGCAGTATGGAGGCCGCTGGGGGACTGTTTGGGGGCCTCTTTTGGGCCTCTTCGGGGCTCTTTGGGGCCTCTTCGGGGCTCTTTGGGGACTCTTGGGGCCTCCTAAAGGCCTCTTTGGAGCGGAAAGCCGGGATTGTCGATTCGCGTTCCCCCTGTCGGGCGGCTTTTCGGGCCATCTTGGGGCTCTCTTGGGCTGCCTCGGGGCGCTCTTGGGCCGTCTTGGGGCCTTCTTGGGGGCTCTTTGACGGTCTTGGAGCGGTTTGGGGGGCCTTCTTCGGCCGTCTTGGAGCGGTGAAGCTCGAAAATGCCAGAAGGCTAAAAACCGGAAAGGAAAAAAAATGTGTTTTGGCATCTTCGGGCGCTCCCGGAACGCCTATCGGAGCTCTCTTGGGGCCTCTTGGGAGCCTCCTGGGAGCCGGGAGAGCCGTCGGAAGTCTGTCTTGTGCTGCTTGGGGGCATCTTGGGCCGTTCTTTCGCGTTCTGGGAGCTCCTTGGGGTCGTCTTGGGTCGTCCTGGTGCGTTTTGGGGCCTCCCTGGGAGGCCTGGAGGTGGTACCGGGAGTTGCCCCCAGATGTCACGGAGGTGGGGGACGCTCCCTGGGAGGGGGGGCGTATTTGTTTCAATCCGTATAGAGCTTATCTGCCTACTTTCCTTCCCTTCTCCTGACAGCTCGCCTGGGCACTGTTTCCGGATCCTGCCTCGAGCGCTGCCAGGACGCTGCAGGCAGAGGGCGACGACGGGTGCGCCGCGACGTCTTGCCGGCACTGGTGGGCGGCAACAATGGAGCGACGTCTCGGAGAGGGGCTCTTCGGCACCCCCATCAGGCAAAAGAGGCCGGGCTCAGGCCCCGAGCACCTCGCTGGGAGAAGCGCGCGACAGAGGGCACACGGTCTGGAGCAGCGCCGTGCCCAGGAAGGCGTGCGGCCGGCGCCTGCTGCGGCGAGACTCCACGAGCGACGCTTCTCCGCACCACACGTTCTCGGGCCACTGCGAGCAGAGGCTCTGAGAATCATGCTCAGGGTCGTCGTAGCAGACGTTGTTCCCAGCCAGGCACGCGGAACAGGGCCCAGCGAAGTCCCAGGCCTTGCCGTGGTGGGCCACAGCCGCTTCGCAGACGCTGGGCTCCCCGCCGGACGCGGAGGGGGAGGTCGTGGGCGCCTCCGGGGGCGCCGGCGTCGGCGTCGGCACCGCCGGCGTGGGCGACGGGGTCGCGGGCGCCTCCGTGGGCGTCGGCGTCGGCGCGCTTAGCGTGCGGCGACGGCGTCGTGGGCGCCTCCGTGGGCGCCGGCGTCGGCACCGCAGGCGTGGGCGACGGCGTCGCGTGGGCGCCTCCGTGGGCGTCGGCGTCGGCGGCCAGCGTGGGCGACGGCGTCGGCGTCGGGCGCCTCCGTGGGCGCCGGCGTCGGCACCGCAGGCGTGGGCAACGGCGTCACGCTGGGCGCGGAGCCCAGCGCCTGCCTCACCGGCTCGGACCAGCCAACGTCGTCGGAGGCGGCCCACAAGAAAGCCCCGCCGTGCCCGGGGAACGCCGCGGCGACGTCCTGGAGGATGGCGGCGGCCTGGCTGCCGTCCACGTTGCTGCCGGTCCCAGAGCAGTCGGCGATGCAGAAGCCAAACACAACCTTGCTGGCGTCGCCGCCGAAGATATCGTCCACGAGGTGTCCCATGTGCTCTATGGCGGGCTGGGTGTCGATGGCGGGCCTGAGCGGGCCGTTGTAATACTGAGGCAAGAGGTAGTCGACGCTGGAGGCGACCTCCTGGAGGACTCTGAAGTACGGTGCCCCAGCGGCGATATCCCCATCCATGGGCGCGTGGGAAATGATCTTCCCGGCGGGCAGCGCGGCGCGGAGCCCCGTGGTCAAATCCTTCAGGAACTGGCTGGACGTGTCCGTGTGGTCGTACTCGTAGTCGATCCACCACCGTGCCATCGGCACGCTGAGGCGCGTTAAGAACATGCTCGCTGTCTCGGGTTCTCAAAACCCACGACGGCCCAAGAGGCGCGCAAGATCGCCCCAGGGGCACCCAAGAGGGCCCCAAGAAGGAGAGCTCGCACTGGCTCCGGGAGCTCTCCCTCCGAAGTGGCCCCCTGGATCCGCAACCTGCCCCAAAGGGGCCCCCCGAGGTCCGCAAGAAGATCCAGAACGCCTCCAAGAGCGCGCCCAGGAGGCCCCCATGAAACTAAAAAAACAGATTCTGCAGGCTTTCAACATACTCGCCGTTTCGGGCTCCTGAAAATCCAAGGCAGCCCAAGAGGGAGAACTGGCACTGACCGTTGGGGCCTTTCCATTTTAGATGGCCCCCCAGACCCCCAACGTGCCCCCGCAAGGCTGAACCCTCTAAGGGGCCCCCAAGAGGCCCTCGAGGCGGCCCATGAGAAGAAGACGCATCCACGATGCCTTCAGGAAAAAAGAGAGGGGGGAGAAAGAAGGATGATGATGATGATGATGATGATGGTGATGATGATGATGATGGTGATGATGATGGTGGTGGTGATGAGGATGATGCTGGTGATGATGATGACAACGATGATGATAATGATGATGACGATGATGATGGTGGTGATGATGATGCTGGTGATGATGATGATGACGACGATGATGATGATGATGATGATGATGATGATGATGATGATGATGGCGATGATGGCGATGATGCTGATGCTGATGATGACGATGATGACGATGATGACGACGATGACGACGATGCTGATGATGATGACGACGACGAAGGTGTTGATGATAATGACGATGATGATGGTGGTGATGGTGACGGTGACGGTGATGGTGATGACGATGATGATGAATATTATGATGATGCTGATGATGGTGGTGATGGTGACGGTGATTGTGATAGTGATGATGATGAGGTGGAGGAGGAGGAGAACGAGGATGAGGAGGAGGAGGAGCAGGAGGAGGAGGAGCAGGAAGAGGAGGACCAGTGTAAACCCAATAGTCATCAACGATGTTGGAACAAATCCCCTCTTCATAGGCTCCTACAACGGTTCATCTCCACCGAGGGAACTGCCTCGTCGGAGAACAACCGCTGGAAGATACTGAAGCATGCCAAAACATTGTTCTCGGGATTCCAACGCCACGGATCAACCTGGCTGTTGCATCTTGACGAGCCTGAATCGTGCCAGAACGACATTCCTGGGACTTCAACGCCGAGACTCTATGTAACTGGTGCACCCGCACAGTCCCAAATCTTTCCAAAACACAATTTTTTCTGGTACGTTGATCCTGGGAATCCGTGAAACTCTTGCAAATGATATAAAGGAATGTGCGGGGCGCTAGTACGAGAGCCACCTTTTGGAAAGGAACCTCCCTCAATCCGTGAAACTCTTGCACATGTTTTAAACGAATGCACGTGGCGATTAGGCGAGAGCCACATTTTGAAAACGGCCCGCCCTCAATCCGTGAAACTCTTGCCAATGTTTCAACGAATGTGCGCGGCGCTACGGCGAGAACGTCATTTTGAAAACCACTCGCTCTCAATCCGTGAAACTCTTGCCAAATGTTATAGACGAATGTGCCTGGCGATAAGGCGAGAGCCACATTATGAAAATCACTCGCCCTCAATCCGTGAAACTCTTGCCAAATGTTATAGACGAATGTGCCTGGCGCTAAGGCGAGAGCCACATTATGAAAACCACTCGCCCTCAATCCGTGAAACTCACTCTTGTGCAAATTGTATAAACGAATGTGCCCGGCGCTGAGGCGAGAGCCACATTTTGATAACGACCCGCCCTCCATCTGTGAAACTGTTGCCAATGTTTAAGCTTCAGGATCAGACATGGCGAAGAAGTCCCAGGCGAAACGTCGGGCCCGCCCTAAAAGCTTGCCTCGGGTGCGACAGGGAGACGTTATTATTTATAAGGAAAAGGAATGGAGGAGGAGGAGGAGGAGGAGGAGGAGGAGGAGAAGGAGGAGGAGGAGGAGGAGGAGGAGGAAGGGAGGAGAAGGAGAAGAGATGAGGAGGAGATAGGAGGAGGAAAGAGGAGGAAGGAGGATGGACAACAAATGGGCTTTCAGTTCAGCGCTCTGTTTGACCTGGAGCGGGTCTCGAACTCAACCTTTTTCTGGCCGCGCCGTTGCGCTGGCGCGGTGGCGGGGTGTGCCGCAGGCAGCTGCACATCCACGCCGTCGAAGCCCTGGCTGTCGATGATCTCCACCAAGCGGCTCACCACGCTGTCCACCCTCCCGAAGCAGTATTCCCAACAGTCGTTTACGTCGCCGGCCCAGCTCCCGCCCATGCCCGCGCCGCCGAAGGAGAGCAAGACCTTCGTGCCCGCCTGCCGCCACGTCTCGATCAGGTCGGGCTTGGCCTGGTTGTCGCACGTGGCTGGCACCCCGATGGTACAGCTCTGGTCGCACTGATTCTTCGTGGGGCTCCACGTGTAGCTGACCGCGAAAGAGACGATAACCTTGTCGTAGCCCCGAATCTTGTCCAGGCTCGGGCACGGCAGCCAGTTCTCCACGAACGCCACCAGCTGCTTGCTCCCCTCGGGCTCGGGCTCCGGCTCCGGCTCCGGAGTTTCTGGAGGCTCCGTGGGCGACGTCGGCTCCGTGGGCGATGGCGCGGGCGTTGGGCCCGCGGACGCCCCGCCGCCCTCCACCAGCCGGACATCCGCGCAGTTCTTGAACTGCTCGCCGCAGAGCACGGGGCCGCCCTGCTCCGCTGGGCAGTCGCCCTGGTAGGAGCACACCACGCCATCGCACCACGCGCTTGCGTCCCACCCCTGCCGCTCCATTTCCTGGAAGTAGCACCTGTAGGCGTCCGGGTGCGGCGTGCAACTGTTCGCGCTCATCCACCACCACTGCAGAGTGCAGCTCTCGCATGTGAGGTCGGCGGGGATCCGGTAGTGGAAGCGGTGCTGCGTGCGGGTGAGGTGTGACCCGTTATGGGGTGGGAGGTACCAGTGCCCAGGGTTAGCCTCGTCGTAGGGCTGACAATCACCTCGTGGGTCGTTTGGCTGGCAATCCGCGTGGACCTCCTCTGGCCTGGCCCGGCTCAGGACGTGCTCATTCAGGCATTCCTCCTGCGCATGGTAGTCACCGGTCTGGCTGTCCAGGCGCTGGTCGCAGAGCCGGAAGACGAAGTGCCCCTTGTGGTGGGCGGTGACGGTGATCACGAACTCGGCCAGCTCCCCCGCCCGCAGCTCGGTCACCGGGCCGACCGCGTCCAGGAAGTGGGCGTTCCCGCAGGTCGCCATTGGAAGGTCGGTGGACCCCAAGCACTGCGGGCAGTAGCCGTTACCCACGTTGTTGTAGGCCCCGCCGCGCATCTCGGGCTTCGTCAGGAACGCGTGGCCGCTCGCAAGGGCGGGCAGCAGACCCAGGGCCAGGACGAGGGCGGAGCTGCCCATGGCGGGGAGGCTTGGGGCCGCCAGAGGGGACGTTCGAGATTCGGCCTTGCGTCGAGCGGCTCGTGCGCGAAATGGCTGCGGCAGTGCGCGCCTCGGCTGCCACCCCCCCCGCCTCGCCCCCCGCGCCCTCCACCCTGGTCCCCCTCCCCCGAGATGGCTACGATGGGCGACGGCTTTGAATATCGGCCCCAGGGGGGGGCCGTTTCGGGCCGCGGGGCCATCGTGAATGGACTTGAAGCGCAAGATCCTGCCGACAGATGAGGTCGAGAGCTCGGACAGAACCTCTTCTGTTGGCGGCACGCATGGGGTGGGGACGAGATGCCTCCTGGAAAAAGGCTCCCTGTCGGCCCATATGCGCCCCAGAACGGGCCCCAATACGGTTTCCATCGGCCCAAGAAGACATCCAACGCAGCACCTGAGGATGACCGTCCAACAAGCGGCTCTGGTGAAGCGACCGTTATATGTAGGGCCCGAGGTCCCAGAGGAGGCCCCCCAGACCACGGCTTCTGACGACGCCAGACGGGCAGCAACGCCAAAGACGAGCGGAAATTGCACCCTGCCAACAACCGAGAGGCCCACACCTGTCCTCGCCTTGCAAGAGGCCCCAAGAGTGCTCCAAAAAGCTCCAATCGGCCGTTCAAGAGGCCCCAAGAGTACTCCAAAGCTCCAAAGAGGCCTCCTCCCTCCTCCTCCCTCCTCCTCCTCCCTTATTCCTCCT